AAACTCCTTAATAATAATCAAAACTTAGAAAATTATATTAAAATATAATAAGGAATATGATAAAATCCTTTCAATACGACAAAAGTTGAAACTGTTAAACTCTATTAAAAATATAGAAAAGTGTATGATAAAATTATTTTGAAAGATTTCAGTAGGTATTTATATATGCGACTCATTTTTTGATCACATTAAAAAAGCATATTAAAAATATTAGTTAATATTATTGATGATGTTATAAATATAATTTAATAATATAAATATATTTTTTAGATTTTATAATTTTATAATAAAATATTTTTATATCAAAATTATAATTTTTTTTAAAAATTTATTATAAAAATTAAATACGATAATATTTAATTTTAATAAATCTAAATCTTATATATAATAAATTATTAACTGATTTAAAATAATATTATATATATATATATATATTTTTAGACCAAAAAAGATATTTCAAAAATTTAATAATTCTTTATTTTAAAGAATTTTCAATGATTTTTTATATTAATATTATAGTCATATATTAAAAATTAAAAAAGTTTATATATATATATATATATATTTATTTACAAATTACAGAATTTTTAATTACTTTTATTTAATTAAACAATTAAAACAGTATTTTATATAAATAAAATATATTAATAATTACAAATAATATCATCAATTAATATTAAAATTTAACTAAAAATCAAATAAATAGTTAAAATTATATCAATTAAATAATTTAAAATTTAAGGTCTAAGAAGATGTTATATTTTAGAATTTTTTTAATTTTAATAAAAATTAAATTAATATCATCTTTTAATAAATTATATTTATAATGAAAAATAAAATCTTTTTTATTTGGTTAACTATGTTAGTATGTAACTTATAAATTGATGTTACATAATCAATTATCAAATCAATTAAAACTTTGATATTCAAGGTATTAAATATTAAAATAAATTTTTAATAAAAGTTTTTTTTTTTCATTTTTAACGGGCCGAAAAAAAAAAAAAAGGTTAACCATAGTTAATGAAACATGAATGAATGCAATTTATTATGACGCACAAGGTTACTTTGAACAATAACATTAATCAAATTAGTATAAAAAAGTTTACATTTGATCTGAATTTCATAAATTACCGAGTTACAAAATCCCGATAAGGTTTCTCATTGTAAATCGAATAATTTTATTTATTGTTTTTGTCAAAGGGTTGATAAAAAATCTTCTTAATTGTCCAAACTTGTAAGAAATTTCCAATTTCGGTAAATTTAAAACCTGGGGTTTTGACATTTTCAGGATAAACAGTGAAAAACGTCAAAAAATCACAATGTTGAGAATCCTTTTATATTGTTTAGTAGTTGAGAACATTTTTCATTACCTTGCATATAAAGAACAATTTTTATTTAAATGTTTGAGAAAAAAATTTATTGTTCAAGTATATTTCATCTGAAAATTCCTTTTTACGAATTTGGAAATCTAAATATTTATCAATGACAAATCAGTTTGAACCTAGGTTGCATTATGTTCTATTGTTATCCCTTTATTACAAAAAAAAAAACAATTTTCAACTTGAAATATCTATTCAGTTCAAACGCTATTGTCTTATCATTCATGTACTGCATAATTTGTTTATTCTGAAATAATAGTAAAACATTCAAAGAAATTTATATTTGAAAATCACATTCTTTTCGGGTCGCGAAGGACATGATATTAACGCGGTGTAATGGGTGAGGCCTTAATTTTTTTTTGACACCTCGAACACTCGCAGGTTGGTAGTTACACGAAATATACTTTAAATTAAGATGACGATATCGAAACTATTTTTCGAATAAAAAAGAAAAGAAGAATAAATAAACACGTGTATAAGCGGCATGAATATAGGTGATAAATGTGATACTTCATCAATCAAGGGGTTCTAAATCAAGGAAAAAAAAAAAAAAACTAGGTCCCCTCTTTTTCACGATAAATAATAAGTAAACAAGTAAATTAATTATAATAATCAAATGAATGATCCTAATTATCCTTACCTTAATAAATCGGGATTTACAAATTATTAAAACATTATGCCAGGATTAAAATTGCGAAATCATTTGCCAATTTTATTCATGGTAAGATTATCTGTCAAAATGTGTTTAATCATCATGTAATGTAATGTACTCCGCAAAATGTTTAATTTTTGATCATATTCTAACGGACTAAATTAGCTTTATTAATCTATGGTTTAAAGGATACCTAATAAGTAAAATAGATTCTATTGACTTGGGTGTGAACAAAATAGAAACGGGAGATGAAGATTATAAAAATAAATCATTTTAATGACCATTTTTTAAATCTCATCACGTTACACTTTTTCTCAAGGGCGTTCTTTATTTTATTTACTCAGAATAATAATAATAATAATAATAATTACACAAATGTTTATGAGGTAAATAGACCTCCACAATAAATTACTATAAGTAAACCACTTTAAGAAGGGACAATAGAGAGTATTGTGAATACATATATATATATTTAAAGTTATAGTGGTCCATTTATGGAATTTGGTGTTAAACTTGTCAATTTGAATAGAATGTGGGGTGCGTGATACAAACTTCGATTAGGAATGAATTACAAAGAACGTAAACAAATAGATATTACAACTTACAGGACTCTTTTATTGTAGAAATTACAAGTCAATAATTAAGTTATATTTTTTTAATTGGGAACATGTCATGGGTCTATTGAAATTTATTCTTGTGAAATCAACATTTATGAGTCCTAACATTTTTGTTTGAATAAATTAATAAATAAATAATTTATTTCGGTCATACCTTAATCCGAGATTCAGACAAAAAACCAGAAACTTCTATACATGAAATGATGTTCACGCAAGGACCGTGAAAACAAAAAAAAAATTCGAAATATCTATTGTCGGAAATAATATCTTTTTTTTTTTTTTTTTGCGCTGAATGGACAGGTTAATGGGAATTTGAGGACAAAAATCATTTGAATGAGAATTTTGCTGTAATGGGTTCAACTTGAAAATAAAAAACATCCTATTCTCCAATTAACGTTCACCAGAATAATGGTAAAAAAAAAAAAATAGCCGATTGATTATACAGAAAAATAAGGTGTGGACATAATGGATAAAGAACAATATAAGCTCCTATCAGAATTTGGTAATTAATTAAAGACCAAAGAACAATTAAGAATAAATTGAATAGATGCAAAACATGTCTATCTCTCAGCTTATCCGAGTTTGGTATTAATGACTTTTGTTTGTTTGTTAATTCCTTTTTTTTTTTTTTTTTTTGCACAATTGTCACTTTGAATTGATTGGCCGTGATAAAAATCCGCAGCAACGGAAAAGCGATGCGATAAAGTCAAAAGGTGACCCTTCGTCACCCCTGGTTTATTTTCGAGTGATGTTCATTTCATTATACTTGTTTTCCAGAATTAGAGTATCTCCTTCCATCTGAACTTTCATTACGAGACTTGAGTTAGACCAACCATTGCGTTTTCGTTACACGATGTTTGAATACACTACACGTTCAAGTGATTGATTGATGAAATGAACTGGATCGACATAAAGTCAATAGTTAGAACCTTTTTTTTTTTTTTCAGAGATGCGTTGCATAGGGGGATTTTACCGGATTTGACATGTGTATTTGTACAACGATGTATAGATAATGAAGAAGGGATCACGCGTTTCTTTTTGACAGGGTTTGCGAAATGCAATCAGATATTAAATGCGTTTTTGTTTATTTTTCTCACCTTTTTTCCCTAGTTCATTTATTTTTTTGAACTAATTTCTTTTTTTTTCTCACATCTTGTTCACCATTTTTAGTATCGTCTCACTTTAACCTCGAGTTTACATTATTCCCTTAAAAGTTTACAACGCCAATGGCATTATAAAATCATACACGACGGATTAGCAAATCCAACGTTCAACAAAGGTTCAAGTGCGTGTTATTATATCGAAACGCCCGTCACCAAAACGGATCAAAAATGTTAAACTGAAAGAGGCATGTCATTCATTGCATAAATAAAAAAAGAAGTAAAGGTTACGTTTCGCGTGCTTACACTTTATTTACAAATAAAAAAAAGAAAGTGAAAGCCGGTTTTAATGTGAGTCATCATTTTGCAGCGAAAGAAACCTTCTTTTTTCTCGTGTTTATCTATTTTGTTCTCTTTGTTTGATTGTGAATTTACACGTATTGTTCTCCATTTGACCATGTAAAAACGGGGTTTTTTTTTTATGTCAATGAAAATATTTCCAAGATAGTTAAGGAATCATTGAAACGCCCTCAATACAACAACATCACTCAATTTTACGTGCAGTTCAAGTTGATCCGTTTGAAGATTTCTTTTCAATTCCTTTTTAATACTTTATCAAGTCAAGGGAACAATCTTCCCTCTTTCAATAGTTATGGCAACTTTAATAAAAAATCCTATTGTTCATTGAAGGAGTGCCGATTCAATCAACTTAATAAAGTTAAGAAAAAAAAGAAAATAAGATTTCTCGAAAGCACCCTTTCAAAGACAAAGGAATAAAATCCAACTATTGTTGCCATCATAAGGTTGAATTTGCGACATTTTATATAAACATCATTTTAGTAAAAATAATAATTTAAATGCATACAAGGCGGGACATATATGCTATTATAATTCCTTTTAATTAATTTTCCTAATTAGATCAAACGTATGGTGTGATAAAATAAGAGAAATGTCGATGATATTATTCTTACGTTATTTTTAGGAGTGAATGTGATATTAAACTGTGTAACACTTTTAAATGATTTTGCCGCTCATTATTAATTACTAATATCAAAAGAAGGCATATAAAAAAAAAAAAAAGGTTTATGGAATAATAAGTCATATTATTCGTTAACCTGTTTGATAGGCGTTCTCTGTTATATACAAATGGCCAATACAAGTTTTCAAGAATTAAACTGATTTCCGTGTGACCTAAGCCCGAGCCCATTTTTACACTATTCTATCATTATTGGGAATTTTTAAAAAAGAAAAGTCATCCCAACAAAAAACATTTTATCGATTTTGTTTTGCACAAATAACCATCACTTGCATGCCGAACATAAGCAACTGCGGAATGCCCATTGTTCTTTGGTGTGGCTGATAACATATGAATTGCACGTAGAAAAATGAATCATTCCGACAATGGAATCGTGATGGCGTATGCGTTTCACCAACCACACCCTTTTCCTCCTGTGGCGTCAAATCACGGCCGTTCATCGTGACACGAGTTATTTCATCCCGCATAACCGCCCAACCGGATTTAGACATTCCATTGTTCATGCCCTTATACTTTAAGTATTTTAATTCACAATTTAGGATAATTGTTTTTATTAAAGTTCACCCACACGAAATTTGTGTGGGGTAAGAGAAACGCTTTTGAATAATGTGGAGGAAAATTTGATTCTTTACAATGTCTAAATATCGAATGATGGAATGAATGATCGACCCAAACAGGGGGATGAATGATGTACGAATTTGGGTTATTCATAAGCCCAAATGTTTGTTTTTTTTTTAAATCATCAGGGTATAATGGAAGTGACCCTTAATGGATCTTCAAATAGGCAACAAGAAGGAAATTTTTTATTTTTTTCACAAGCTTTTTTCATAGGACCATGTTTGAGACTATTTCGTGCCTTTTTATTTTGTTTTGTGTTTTTGGTGTGTTTATCTTGAGCGTTGCATTTTTTGCGTCATATTCCTTTTGTTTCTAAGGTCCGGAGAAAATCTTAATCTATGGCAATTATCAGGTGATGTCAAGATGTTAGATGTTTGATTATCTGACCACGTGATAAACCCAACCACAAAGCAACCATGATTATTAAACAAAATAAACGAACGTCCAAAAAATGAAATGAAATGAAAAAGAAGATGGGAGAAATCCTGATCGAAATTTTTTTGTACCAGTTTATTCGTGTGGCGCAATATTATCTGCGTTCGCAAGAAAGGCATGTACGTGTCATGGCTTTATCGGTATACAGATAATACCGACATGCACCTTTACGAGATTATTGAGGTTCGATTGACGTCGGAAGATTTATTCCTCGGAGGATCCCTGGAGTGGGAAAAAAAAAAAAATCCGCGGCGGGTGCAAAATAAATAAAGAAACGTAAAACAAAATATCAAAGCATGGCGTACGGCATGTATATAATGGTGGTTTACGATGTTTTTTTTTTTTAATGACAAAAATATGCATGCAATCAGTCCGCTTACAGCCTACAAAAAAAAAAAAAATATATCATCATCATCATTTTATTGATTCGAAATCTTCATTTTCATAGATATGTATGATAAAAAATAATCTCGGGTTTAAAAAGAAAAAAAAATCAGACAATGATTGTTCCGGAAATGCTGCGGGATATTGTTCTGCTGATAAGCTTTATCTGTCGCATAAAGAATTCGGCTCGCCAAGAATGTCGTCAGCGTATGCAAGTTTCAAAAGACAATATCAAACATTTCTTGTTTCACGATGACGAAATCGGCGTTAAAATTTGCATCCCGAATCAAAGGAGTTCCAGGGCCAAAAGTTTAACGAAACGTATAGCTTTTCGTTTCAAAATTACAACTTTATTCATTATATAATTCTATAAAGGGCTAAATTCTCAACTGGTAATTTCTCAAACGAGGAATGCTTGTTAGCCATAAATTGATTTATTGTCTGACAAACAATAGATAACTTTGATTCTAGAATATATTTTTTTTTGATATGAATTGAGTTATTGGTTACCATCCATTTTCGTACAACCCAAATTCAAAACGTGTCAAGGATGATTTTATCACCTTTGTTTAAAGAATTTGATACTTTCTTTAATGCATTTAAGCACATAATTGCATTAGATTGCATTATAGGTTAACTTGAAAATCTCAACCGTTAATAAATGACCTAGTTCTTTTTAATTGATAAAGTAAAAAACATTTTAAGGAAAAGCATTTTTATCTCAAACGAATAAGAATTTCGTGATCTAAGATAAGTATAATATTTAAATTTTTTCTGATGAAATAACGTTTATCATGTAAAAAAAAAAAAGATGCATTGTAGATCAATTGATAGGAAAGACTTTTGATTTCAAGGGTTTTTTTTTTTTTTTTTGTACGGAAACTTTTTTTTTGACACAATATGATTACAAGAATGCAAAAAAAAATATGCATAATGACTCGGTGAATATATTTATTTATATAAGGATCTTCACAAAGTTAGATACACCGTGATATCAAAAGGTTATACCTTATTTGCCAAGGATTTTTTTTTTTTTCCCTCTATTTATTATCTTTATTTATCATTTCAATAAAGTTTTTATTTGATAAGGTAATTTGGTAAGTGGGGAGGTCGAAATTTTTTTTTTTTTTTTTTTTTTTTTTTTTAAACAAAGAATTTTAAACTAGGTAATTTTTTTTTTGTTATTGTTGTTTATGGAAAATTTTCAAGATTATCATGACATTGCAAATTTTCATTTGTTGAGAAATTTTTTTTTTTTTTCATTTTGCGTAATTGGGAAAATCAATTTTAATGAACATTTTTCCCTTATCCTACAAATCAAAAAATTTAAAAAGATTCTTATTTCAACGCCCAAAATTAATACTTTCGTTTTTTTGGAGTTTATCCCCCGAATCCCTTTCCATGTTTTTTGATCTTATCAATGAATGGTCGGGAAAACTCTCTTTGAGAGGATAAGGAAAGGAGGCGTAAGATGCCAATGCACGGAGTGAAAATTTTCTCTTTCTTTTGATTGGAAATGATGTGATAGCCATATGGGCATGAGAACATTTAAAAAAAAAAAATAGCATGAGAATGTGGTAAATCACATATCAACAACTTCGATATTCTTTGTAGTTGCGAAAATTGAACTAGTTTAGGAACTTTATTTTAATCGTTTAATAAAGAATTAAAACATCACAATTGTAAGCAGCTTCCCTTTTTTTTATATACATGTATATACGGTACATGCGTAATTATGCCCATGCATACGCCCACGATGTAAAAGCAATTGCATTTGATTTTCAATTAAAAAAAAAATTACCTAATCTTGGTTATAATTCATAATTATCTTTTTTTTTTTTAACAAAAAAAAAGAGCAAATATAGAAGGTATCATACAATGAATGACCATATTGAGAAGAGGCCAATTCCGTTTCGATAAACCTGACATCTTTTTTGTGGTGCCTAAAAAAAAAAAAATAAATAAACCACCACATTGATTTCTTCAACGGACATTAATTAAAATTCGTTCCCGTACCTTTTTTTATGCTCCCCCTTTTTTTTTATGTTTCCTACCAGGGTTGGAAGAGAGCACGAATATACAAACTCGCAACGGATGCGGAGGAAATTAAAAAAATCTGAGTGACAATAAATAATAAACGAGAATTTACGCGGATAAACGAATTTCGAATGTTCGCTTTCTTTTTCCCGGTTTATATTGAGCAATCTTTACCGACCAATCAGGTTTAACGTCAAAAAAAAAAGGGGGGGTTCAAAAAATCGACGAGCTTAGTAACCAAACAATTGTGATTCTTTACGTTAGCTAATCGTGTTAAAAAAAAAAGAAATAATTAAAAATCAAAACAAACAAGTTGACAAATAAGGCTCAAAAAAAAAAAAAAAAACGTTTTGGCCTGGCCATTTGCCCTGTTGACATGCGATCGGGATCATATGATTTCTATGGGGTCTCGTTTTTAATTACATTTTTCCTAAATCCCCAAAAAATCTTAGGTATGGGTGTACCGAAATAATAATACAAACAAACATTTGAACATTTGACAGTTTTTTTTTAAAACATGGGTGTCTCAGCCACACATAGTTATTTCGTCATTTTGTTTAAGGATGTGCATTTTGAATTTTTTTGAATCATTTTTTTTTTTTTTTTTTTTTTTTTTTTTCCAAAAACCAGTTGAAGGTTAAAAACAATTCATGCATGACCCAATGAGCATGCATGTAAGAATTTTTTAATTATTAATTTTCAAGAGATAAAATTAATACATACATAAAGAAAAAGAAAGTAGGACAGGATTTGCGAAATAAAGCGATTATTAATTAAGAATAAGGAAGGCGAGAACAAGAACAAGGGGAGAACAAGGTGAATATTCAGACCAAAACGAATTTCGAAATTGCAATCGTAACCGCCGTTGCAAAATTGCTTTATCACCAGAAATTATTTTCATTAAACGAGCTCTTTTTTTTTTCGTGTTCAAAATGCGAGGAAAAACATGAGAAGCCTTTCAAAAAATCAAAAGAAAAAAATCAAATTCAAAGAAAAAAAGGGAATTCAACAACGACCTTTAACATCACTTTAATTATCATGATGAACATTGTACATGGCCTCGGTACCACAATTAAGTGAGAATGTTCATTGTATGCTATTATTTGTTATGCTCGTGCCTTATTAAACGAATTCTTTTTTTTAAAAATAATAAAAAAACTTAATATATATATAATAATTATTAATATTTATGTTTATGGGATCGCTTTCGCTTAACGATAGCCTCGATTGCATCTGGTTAATATATTCTATTAAGAAGTTTATTGGTTTCCTCGTTTATGACTTTTGAATTTTTAAATAATCGTTAATTATTCGAGGAGAGTAAATAAATGAAAATGGGACCTGGGCCCATAAATAGAGTTGGCGGAAAAAATATTCGAGGTTGGTTTACCTAATGAGTGATGAATAAGAGAATATTAGAATATTAGAATATTAGGTTATCAGTTTTTTTTTTGTTGCATAGAAAATTAAAAAGCTTCCCATGGAAATGAATATTCAATAAAGCAAGTATCCAACATTCGCAAAAGGGCATTTTTTTTTTTTTTTTTTTTTTTTCATATAAATTATTTATTTTATTTTTTTATGTAAATAATATAAACTCACTGATGATTAATAGAAGTAAAAATGTATAGTACTGTAAAATTTTATATTGTAATTATTTATGTGTGTGTACACTAAAATTATTATATAAGGTCTTGAAAAAAAAAAAAGGTGGAAAAAAAAAATTTTTTTCAAATTTATAAAAAAAAAAAAAATCCATCTTTTTTCAAAAAAAAAAAAAAAGTTCATTATTACTTTATTCCTTAGCATTATCTAAATAAATTTTTTTTAACAAAAGCAAATTTTTTTTTTTTTATATAAAAAAAAAAAAAATTTCCATTCGAGAAAAAATCAAGCAATATGTCAACTGTTGTTATTCGACCAGGTGGCCCTACCGAGCCTCAATACCTTCCAGCAAGAAATTATCCTGTTAGACAAATGCAAATGTATCAACAACAACAACAACAACAACAACAACAGCATCATCATC